GGAGTCCAAGAATAAATTAAAGGAGCCCCGAGCAGTTGTCAGGAAAAGCGCCCACGGGGAACCCGCGCGGGATGGGGCCCCCCCGCGGGCCCGAGGCGAAGGGACCCCCCCCGAGTCGAGCCCCCCGCCCCCGAGAAGTTGGCTTTTCTTTCAGGAGTGGGGTGGGGGTGATGTTTTGCAGGTCCCTTTAAGGGCAAACCCCTATCTAACCCAGAAGCGCAAAGATCTGGATTCTGATTTCTCCTCCCTCCCCACCCCCAAGTGGAGTAAGTGTCCAGAGCTGGGGTGCGGGGTGCCGGGGTGCACCCCTTTCCCCACGGCAGAACCTAGTGATGGCGTTTTTTGTTTTTTTTTTCCAATCCAATTCGGACCCTTCTGAAACCCTGACCCTCAGAGTCTTCCTTAGGTATTGGGGGGAGAAGGGAGGTGAGTGTCAAATCTCCCAGACATCAAGGCGGAGGGCCTGGGATTTGGGGGGGGGGGTGTGGTGGGGCTCAGACTGGCAGGATCCCAGAGGCTGTGAGTGTTGATTCCAAGGGATAGCCTCAGCTTGGAATTACCATCGTAATTTCCGGGCGTGCAAAGGGTTAATACGGGCTGAATATTGAGGGGGGGTGGGAGGCAGGAGGGGTGGCGGGATCTGGGTGGGCGCGCTCTGATCTCTCCCCCCCATTCCTCGGGGGTCAAGTTTCAGCGGCACTCCGCCCCTAGGGTAGGTGTGAAGACACGTGTCCCCATTGTGAAGGGCCTGTCAGGCAGGACAAAGCGGCCGCCCACCCTCCCCCTCCCTCGGCCAGCTGGGGTCAGCTCCAGGGGCGCTGGTGTCGAGTCACGACAGCCAGGCTTTGTGATATAGGAGAAAAGCTGGAGACTGGCGGAGCTGGGAGACTGGGCGGAGGCACGTGATGCTCAAGTGAGGGGTTGAGAATCCCCCCCCCCCCATGAAAAATTGCGTGGTCACCTCCATCACACCCGAAGAGGGCATGAGCCCCTTCTCCTAACAGGCGTAATAAGCACAGCGGCACCCCCTGCCCGCCCCCCCTTACCCCCCACCCCTCCCATCAATCACCAACACAGAGAATCGCAGTGTGGAGCCAGTCGATTTTAGTGGTTTTCTTTAATCCTGCTCTGCACTTCTTTCTCATTTACTACACGGGATATTATAAAGAATAAATAGCAGATACTCTTAATTTACAATGATTAGTCATTCCATTTGTTCTCTATATTTACAATAACTGTAAAATAACATTGAACTCTATACTTCTTCGAGGTCCAAGGAAAACCAAAAACACTTTCCGAAGAATGGAAAATAGCTTTTTAAAAGTCCTTCTACAAAAACTTCTCCCCTCTCTTTGTACTTTAAGAAAAAAATAACTTTTCCCCCCTGCTTCGCCATGCGAAGGGCCCTGGAATATAAATAGCAGGTTAACATTATTAGCAACAACCAGAATAAGTCTCTCTTTTCTCTGTTCTTTTTTTTCCTTTTGCTTATTTTTTTTTTTAAAAATACAGTAGAAGCCGGTAACTTTTAACGTATAATACTGACCTTTTAATAAGTAAATTAAAACTGGGACCGTATATACACACAGATATACATTCCTACACAGTTAAACAGTGCATTACATGAACCAGAAAGCTAGGTCTCTGTAGCCAAAAAAAAAAAAAAAAAAAAAAAAAAGTTCATTCCCCCTCGCGAGAGGGTGGTGGAACTGGTTGGAAACGGTGCGGGGGGCGTCGGTGGGGATCGATCAAGTGTCCGGGTGCGGGCAGGGGGCCCCGAGTCCTAGCACGAGCACTTGCACTCGGAAATGATGGGGTACTGGATGGGAATCCAGCCGCAGCGCTGGCCCCCGCGCCGCTGACAGCGCCACCGCAGCACGGTGAGGTGCACGGACTTGGACGGCTTGCACACCATGCCCTCGGGCACCGAGCACGAGCGCTTACTGAAGCAGCTGCCCACCTTCACGTAGCGCGGCCAAAAGCGGCTGCCCAGGTCGTTCCACGCGTACAGCACCGGGCAGAAGGTCTGCGACCACAGCCACATCTGTAACTTCCTCCGCAGCTTCTTGCTCAGGCGCTGCTTCTTGCCCGGGGCCAAGCCCTCCGAGAACTCCAGCCCTTTGATCTCGCTCGGCATGGCCCCCGACGGCCGCTGCCGTAGCAGCTGGTCCAGCTCGGCCAGGTCCTCGGCACTCCCGGCCGACCCCCCGCCTCCGCCGGGCCGGTCCTCGGGGGGCGAAGTGGCCATGAAGCCTGGGTCGTAGTGGCCCCCAAGCAGCGAGCGCAGCAGCGTCTCGTTCAGATCCTTCTCCTTGGGGTCAAAGATAGGGTCCGGGTGTTCGATGAGGTCCACCAGGGGCAGGTTGTCGCTGGGGGCCGGGCGGATGTGGAGATAGTGCTGGCCGCCGGCCGGTGCCGCCCGCAGCCCCAGGACCACCACCAGGGCGTAGAGGGTGACCCCCAGGCTGGGGCAGCGCTCCATGCCTCCGGCGTGCGCCCGGGGCTGCTGCTTCGTTCCGCGTCCCCGGAGGAGAGCACGCCGAGCCCGCGGCGGCGCCGCGCTCCCCCGTCTCTCCGGCGGCCGCTCACCCGAGGCTGGGCAGGCGCAGGGCCGGCAGCATGAGTCGCCGGGAGAGCCCTTCGCGCAGCGCCGGCTCCCACCCGGGCGGAAAAAAGGCACACAAGTTGGCCGCAACTCCTCTCCCGGGTCTATTCGGGAAGGCGGCCGCGGCGGGGCATCCGAAATTACTCCAGGGCGACCGCAGGCGCAGGGGGCGCCGGCTCCTCGCTGCTTCCCCGAGCCGGCGGCGGCGCTGGGCGCGTGGACGAGCCGCTCTCCCCTCCTCCTCCTCCTCTTGCTGCTCCTCGATCTGCTGCTCGGTGCAGCGCCGCTGGCCCGAGCGGGGTCCTCGGGGGCACTTCCCTCCCGTCTGCTCCGGGCTCCGCGGCCGGGCTCTGCCCGGCGGACTCCAGCGGGCGGCGGCGGCGGCGGCGTCCGCGCACGTTGGCACCGGGTTTGTCTGTCTCACTGGGTCCAAGCCTTTAAATTTCCTGCACTTTCAGCTCCATCACCATGGAAACCACTGACTCTCTCGGCGTTGCCCCCTCCCCCTTCTTCCCCCCCAACAACAACCCCACCCCCCAATACTCGACCCCCGAGGA